CCTCCCCCATTTCTGAAGAAGGGTCTAGGCCCGAAACGTCAGCTTTCCTGCTCCTCTGATGCTGCTTGGCCTGCTGTGTTCATCCAGCTCTACACCTTGTTATCTCAGATTCTCCAGCATCTGCAGTTCCTACTATCTCTTCTTTCAACTCTTGCCCGTTTCCAATGTGTCTCTGAATCCAGATCACAACTTAATGTTTACATTTTGTTCATGTTGCAGTGAATACATTGACAGGAATCCAAAACTGACTGAAGTGAAAGTGATACTAACTGGACTGAAGTGAAAATGATACTTAACTGTGCTATCAAACAATGATCCAGGCTGTGTTATTCAGTCTGAGTAACTCAGTAACTTTAAAGTGATCCCACCAGCCCCCAAAAAACACCTTTTGAACTTCTGCTAATAGAATGGTTAAGCTGTCAACTGGACTGCTAGTTTGTAGCTTCCTTATATCTGTTTATGATGCAAGTGCTGGACTTAGGCCAACACACACCCCACACTTCCCAAAAGGACCAGAGAATCTTGAGCTATTCTTAAGAGCAGAGCAGAGAGATTAAATAGCAGGTGATAAAGTGAAAAAGAAGATATTTCCACCAGGAGGAGAGTCATTAAACAGAGGACACCGGTTTAAAATAACCAGCAAAATAACCAAAAGAGAGAGAAGCATAATTCTGCTTTTGCATTCTCTTGCAGTGTACTTCCTGTAAAGGAAATTGAAGCAGATTTTAATAAGTTTCAAAAGGGGATTTGATATCTACTTAAAAAGGAACATTTGCAGCAGTGTGGGGAAAGAACAACGGGTGGGACTAATTGAAAAACTTTTTGAAAGAGTGAGTACAGGCACAATTAGCTGATTCTATGAAAAAAACTGTCATAGTCCCTTCCCAGCTATTCTCTGTGTAAAATATTTAAATCCTTGCCTTAATGCCCTTCAATGCTGATCTCAGCAGACCTGTACTTCATATCAGTGGGGGGTTTGGCTGTGTAAAAAAAGTCTTCACACAAATTAGTAAATTATTGCACTAACTGATTAGTCAGCCGTGGTGAATGAGCATATTCCTGAGCCACATTGTGTTCTCACTATTCAAGCACGTTCTTTGTGCAAGGATGATTACGGTGATTTTGTGTCCCCTTTTCTTCCTTGATACATCGGCTAATGCAGCTTTTATTTTTGTGCACTTGCAAAATAGTGCAGGGAGCTATTAGTTCTCCCCGGCATGCAGACACCAGTCGGCATGCTACCCATTGCCTGGTTTGGCATGTGAACCAACACAGGTATGATGGTGTGGCCGCTACTGTATACAAAAAGCAATGTGGAGCCACAGACAAGTGTTCAGTGGGTTCACATGAGAACTAGGCACATTATCCATCTAGTTTATGGAGTAGGGTGTGGCTGACTCGTGCCAATAATAGTATTTTCTGCAGATGTATTGAAACATATGAGATCCTCATGGTGCTTGACCTGGTGGACGTGGCAAGGACATACTTAGAGCTGGAGGTCACTGTTTGAAAATAAAGGGCCATTAAAAATTAAAGATGAGAAATCTTTTCTTACTAAAGTTATGAGTCTTTGAAACATTCTTCTTCAAAGGGCAGTGGAAACAATCTTTGAGTATTTTTGAGGCAGCGGTAGGTAGTAAGGGGGTGAAAGGTTTTTGGGGCAGAGGCAAGAATGTGAAGTAATCAGAAGAGCCACGATCCTATTGACTGGCAAAGCAGACTTGAAGGGCTGAGTGGCCTACACCAGCACCTAATTCGAATGTTTGTGAAAACCCCGACTTTCCTGCGGTTCTGAGGAAGGGTCACCGGACCCGAAACGTTAACTCTGTTTTCTCCTCCACAGATGCTGCCAGACATGCTGAGCTTTTCCAGCAACTTTGTTTTTGTTCCTGATTTACAGCATCCGCAGCTCTTTTGGTTTTTACCCCGACTTTCCTGTTATTCTTGTCTAGCCCTTTCCAGACCTCTCCTCCTAACTCCAGAATTTGGTCTTCCAAATTTCCATACAATTGTGTTACCTACCGTACTGAGATGGAGGGGAGGCAGTGATGTGGATTCACGTCACTGGATTAGTAATCCTGAGCACCAGGCTAATGTTCTGGACATGTGCAGTTGAATCCCACCATGACAGATCATCAAGAAGCTGGGGTAAAATGTTGGTGACCATGTAATCACTGTGACTTGTCAATAAAAACCAATCTGGTTCACTAATATCCTCTCCTTCTTTTAGAGAAGATGATCTGCCATCCTCACCCTGTCTGGCTGGCATATGATTCCCAGACTCTTATTGATTCTTAACTGCCCTTCGGGTAGTAAGGGGTGGGCAATTAAAGCCAGTGACATCCCATGAATGAATTAAACAAAAACGAGGAAGACTTGCATGGGCTCTCCCATCGACGGGGCATTATACTGAGACTCCCTCCAGTTCCATGACACTACTGCAGAAGAGTCGGACAGTCCTCCCTGATGTCCTGACCATAAAAGGATTATCTTGCTATTTATCTTGTTGTCAGAGTTCACTGTGGCTGCTGTGTTTCTTGTATTGCAACAGTGATAACACGTGAAAATTGGCTATTAAAAGCGTTGTGATGTATAAAAATATAGTACCAGCTCAGCTTTATTCTGAAACATCTGTATGTTGTGTTGAACTGGCTCTCTGAATGAGGCTGACCTCTCCTTCTTGACTACTCTTAGCAGTTTGGTTCTCTTATCTAAAGAAAGATGTACTGGCACTGGAGGCAGTCCAGATGAGGTTGACACAGTTGATTTTAGGTATGTAAGGACTTCCAGATGAAGGGAGATTAAATTGGTTAGGTTCATTCTCATTGTGTTTAGAAGAATAAGAGGAGACCGTATTGAAACATAAGATTTATAGGGGAACGTGATAGGGTAGATGTGAAGGGCTCATTTCCCCTTGTAGACAAGTCTAGGACCAAAGGGCATTATCTCAGAGTAAAGGGTCACTTATTTAAGACTGATGAGAAGGAATTTTTTCTCTCAGTATGGACCATCAGACTTCTTTGCTGAAATTGGCTGTACAGCCCGTTGCGTTTGCTCCATCATTCAATGAGATCATGGCTGATCTAATAATCCACAACTCCCTTTTACTGCCTTTCCCCATAACCCTTGATTCCTTTACTGATTTTAAAATAAAATCTGTTTCTGTCAGCCCTGAGTGTGTTTGACCACCAAGCTCTGTGGTAAATGTCCTTGGGTTGTGGTTATGCTGATTATCAACCTCTTTTCTCTGTAGCCTGCTTTACTTTCCTCCATCCAGCTCTTTACCTGGATATGATACTTGATTGTTGCCAGTTGTCACTTTGTCACTCTGATATATTTAATACTGGGGCATTCCTTTAGCTTCTGTTTGCTTCACCCTCTTGGTAGCTGCTGTACCATCCTCTGGTTTAGTACTATAGAGCTCCCTTTGCAAACTCTTCATTTTTTTTTTAGTCCATCTTTGCTCCAACAATTTCTATTGCTTCAACATTTTCTGCAGTTGTGTATATCCTTTATTTGTACCTTCAAATGATTTCTAGCTTCTTTGAAGGTCTATGTTATTACTCATTCACCCTTTTCAACTTTTCCCTGATGTACAGAGGTGTGTTTGCTGAGCTTCCCTTGCAGCGTGCTTCATTTAGTCAGACGTAGCCAGGAGTTGATTGGCAGAGATCTCTCATGTGGCGAGACTCCCTGGATTCCATTCTCTAATGTGATTGGGTGATTTTACCCTCTTAAGAATGTTTGAACAGCAGTTGTGCTAACTTTGTTGCCTCTAAAACTTCCTTCTGTTATACTTCAGACCTCCAGCAGAAATAAAGTACTCGTCATGGAATTTTGTTCTTGTGGAAGCCTGTACACTGTGCTGGAGGAGGCAGGCAATGCATTTGGCCTACCCGAATCTGAGTTCCTGATCGTGTTGCAAGATGTGGGTAAGTTCCTGATAATTTGACTACCTGCCAAGTATGTGATTTGTGACTTGAATGAAAGTGCTATTTCCCACAGATGGGAAAAATTTAAAACATTTTATTGTGGGAGAGGTAGGTGATAAAGTATTCTGTTCTCCAAATCCATTTGTTGAGTGTCCCCAGTTATCAGCAAACTATTTTAGATCAAGATTTGGTAATATTAAAAAAAACAGAAATTTGTTGGTTTTTTAAATTGAAATCAATGGTGAATTTATTTTCCTCCTCTTCTGGAATTTGGCAACTTTAATTTATTTTCTAAGACTTTCTCGCATTTTTCTTTAATCCAACCCTTCACTCCCGAGATCATTGATTCCCTCACTTAGACTGGTTGCTGCAGCCACTGTTCCATATCTCTGGGGTTGTATGGTGTTAATGACGTGATCCCAAAGCTCAGGCATTGCTCTGGGGTCATGAGTTCAAATCCCATCACAGCGTAAGTTCAGTTAACAAAATATTGAATTGAAAACTAATATCATTAAACTTTTGTTGTTTAAAAAAAAAATCCCTCTGGTTCCCTAATGTCCTTTAGGGAAAGAAATCAGCCATCCTTACCCAGTTTGGCCTACATGTGACTCCAGACCCCAGTGGTTGACTCCACTGTCTGCAGAGGTGGCTTGAGCAAGCCCCTCAGTTTAAGCCCAGTTAAGGATGGGCAATAAATGTTGGCCATGTCTGCTAAAGAAACTGCAACTAGTTCACGTGCATCCACTGCGAATAAATGCAACTGAGTGAACCTGACTCCATCTTCATTCAGTGCGCACTTGCAATTCCAATAGTTGTTGTATATTGGCATTGATCCCAAGGGTACTGGGAGCAGCCATGAAACCGTTGACAGAGCAATGAAATTATTCTGTTTAAAAAGCTAAACTCATACCAGGTGGGGTGAACCACTTCAGTATGAATGTCTGTGGTTAAGGATTGATGGCAGGCTCCATTTTCTTTCTAACTGCCTCTGAGTTTGACTGGAGTCTACCATGTTTCTCCCAACAGTGGCAGGCATGAACCACCTTAGAGAGAATGGGATTGTCCACAGGGACATCAAGCCTGGAAATATCATGCGTGTAATTGGGGAGGATGGACAGTCAGTTTACAAGCTCACTGACTTTGGAGCAGCCAGAGAGTTGGAGGATGATGAGCAGTTTGTCTCGCTTTATGGAACCGAGGAGTATTTAGTAAGAAGCAATTTTCATTTTTTTTAAAAATACGCGTCAGATTTTGAAATCAGCAGTTGGGGTTCCAACTCAAAGATCAAATCACGGCCTCTGTCATTATGTCAGTCTTGCCTATTTTCTTTCGGTAGTTCCCAACTCCAGGTCAGATTTATCCTCCTTTTGCCCCAAAGATATGCTGTTACTTTTTCTTGGTGTCTCCTCAGATTGAAAACTGTGGTTTGCGTGGAGTTAGCTGAGCTGTTCATGCAAAGAGCAGGAAGTATTTTAATGTTAGGAGAGGGGCAGATTGATTGGGCGTGACCCCTGTATGCACATCTGCATTTTGGTGGGAAAAATAAGAGAAGACAGTTCTTGGAAGTTGAGAGTCGAGATAGGGTGGAGGATTTCTGAGTGTGAATGTCTAGGTTAGCCAGGCAGTAAGTAAAAGCCAAGCTCTTGAGTTTACTTCTAGAGAGAGAGAGAGAGAGAATTGAAAAACACTACATCTATGTAAAACTTTGGTTTGGCAGCATTTCAAGTGTTTGCATGCATTTCTGGTCAGCATATTCTGAAAGGATCTGTTTGCTGATGCCAGCAAACTGCCTGAATGCATACAATATTGAGATGATTAATGAATATTAAAAACAAAGTTTCACTTGTTTTACATATTATTTTAGTGGTCACATAAATAAAATCACAATATATTGGTTAATTAAAATACACTCAATTTTTTAAACTAAAACACTGTCAATATTTTGTCTGCATGTGCACACATGCATGCGCACAATATTAAACTGATTTTTGAAATTTAAAATAAAAATTCTCCTTTTTATAGTTCATTTCTATGACTGATGTACAGTTTCATTAAAATATTATCATTAATTGATAATTGTAAATATTTGTAACTGTGAGAGATGTCAATAATGTGCTTGTTCATTGGTATCAGCAAGTGAAACCATTACAGAAAGAATGTGGAGGAACTGGAGAGGGTGCAGAGGGATTAACAAGAATAGTTCCAGAATAGTGTGGGTTGATATACCAGGAGAGGATTGATAGGGTGTTTCTCATAACTGGAGGTTATTGATGTAAGATAGTCGTCAAGGAATCTATTGGAAAAGTGAGGAGAAATTTCTCTATCCATAGAGTGCTGAGATTGCAGAACTTGCTACTATAAGGAGTGGTTGATGCAAGTAATATTAGGTGAGTTTCAGAGGAAGCTAGATAAATAAACAAGGAAGAAATGCTTGCAATGAAAGATTTGGATAAGGAAAGAAAGGAGACCTGAATGGAAAACAAATACTGCAATGGACTGGTTGGACCAAATCTCCTATGTGTAACCCTTTGTAATATGTAATCCTGCCTTCCAGTAGTCTGCTGATGTGCACCTACTACTTTGTTGGCCAAGGTACTGAGAGTGACTGATCAAGGTCCAGTCAAGAATCGTGATCAGGAGGAACAGCAGTTTGAGTTTTGTAAATAATTATTTCAGTCTCTGTATGGTTTTCTGGCAAAATGAGAAATCCAAGTCGACATGACACAATGCTCGATTTTCGAGTAAGAAAGGGTAATAAATAGCTGATATTAATGTAACATGAGATTGGCTTCCGTCAGCATGTTCAGAGTTGTTCTGATGGGAGATTGAAGTTGATCCTTTTGAGAATTCATCAAGTCACTTAGAGGACCACGGATGCTCTTGTCTGATGAATCTGGCATTTGGGGCAGTTGTCAATTTGCTGACTTCTTCGTTGCAATATAGCCCACTCACCATTTAATATAAGGGGAGAGGTGATGCTCTCAAAGAATTGTGTTTCCTAGCTTTCAGCCTATGAATTTTATGTGAAAACAGGTATGATTAGGGACAATATTTTATGTCCATAAGTGATAAACTAATGTTGATGGAATCAATTGTCAGGCCTTGTTGGCCTTTATCCATTTGTACTCCAGTCGAGCAAAGAGCAACTAACTGAAGAATAACAATCTGATTAGCATCCAGATATGTATGAACGAGCAGTGTTAAGAAAACCTCAACAGAAAATGTATGGAGCCACTGTCGATCTATGGAGCATTGGAGTTACATTTTACCATGCAGCTACTGGCAATCTCCCATTTAGACCTTTCGAGGGACCCCGCAGGAACAAGGAAGTAATGTAAGTTCAAATATTTCTCTTGCTTCAGGGTGAGCCACTCTACCAACGGATCTATTTACTGCTGGGGTAAATAGATAACATTTGTCGTAATGTTAAATGTGTTTTATTTCTCTGAACGAGTGGCTCAATTTCTTTCTCGCTGTCTTTGAAGATTCTAGTTGATTGTCTGGTATCTTTTACCACTGAGATCAGAACAAATGTTGTCAGAACTGGGAATGTGGCTTTATAAGACGTGTTTGGATGGGAAAAACCTCCAGGTTGTTTATGACCATACAACTGAGAGAGAGAGTCTCCAGACATGAATGTCATAACAGCCAGGTTCAATTATGATTTGTGTGCATGCAGTCAGTTTTATCATACAATATATTTTGGGATAAAATGATGGCAGAACAAACCCCATAGATCAATATATGGGGTTCAGAAATGGTCTGCATGTATATACACATTTATGCATTAGCCAATCCAGCACTGTATATCAGCCACTATCCCATCTGCAAGAACTGTATAACTCTTTATTTGATGTTGGTTGTGAAGAAGTTAGAACCTCCCACAGTTTTATGTAAGCAGAACCAAAGCCGTCCTATTTATCTTCTGTTCAAAGATCTGCCTTATGACACCTCTCCTGGCTACTCATTTAGTCTGTGTCATTTGGGATTCTGTTGGATTGTGACCTGACTTTATTTCCAAGTAATCATCAAGAACAGTTCAATCCACCACAATTGTAAGACCTTGCTCGCATCAACAGAGCACATCTTCCAACACCTCCCCCTCCCCTGCCCATTAACACATTTCTTACCTGGAGACTTAATGTCTACAGAGTTCTGCTTGTTATCTCCTGAACTGCACACTGCAGCATGTCTTTAAATTCTGCCACCCCACATCTTATCCAATTACTGCAGTCTTACCTGATGACTCTCCTCTCTGTCAAATCTGCATTGAGCCACCATTCCCAAATCTTTGAATTCCAAATGCTTCCTTTATTGTTGATTACCAGACCCTCTTCCCTTACCAGTTACATAGCAAGAGAAACCTGCCTCTTGATGGGTAACCCATCACCATCTTCAATATTCATTCCCTCCGCCAATCCTTGAGAGCAGCCGCATGTACCACCTACAAGATGCCCTGCCTCCTTTGACAAAAACTTCTAAACCCCATAACCTCTATCATCTAGAAGGATAAGGGCAGCAGATGCGTGGGGACAGTGCCACCTGCAAGTTCTCCTTCAAGCCACACACCATCTTGATTTAGAACTCTATTGCCATTCCTTCACTTTTATAGGGTCAAGATCCTGAAACTCCCTTCCTGACAGTGGACACTGTGGTGCACCTGCACTATGAAAAGGCAGCTCACCACCACTGTAACAAGTGAAATGAGCGATAATGTTGACTTAGCCAATGAAGCCCATATTACCGTGAAAGAATCTTTCTAAAAGTATGTTTTACTGTTCCTATGAAACTGTCATCCTATCTTGGTTATGCCACCAGGTTAGGATTTAGAGTCTCCAACGTTTTCCCAAATCCTTTGGACCAACTTTCAAAGCCATCCTTACAGCCAGCCTTTCGAACCATGTTAATTTAGTAACAGAGTAAGGAGACAGTCATTTGAAACTGGAATTCCTCACTGCAGAGAGTGGTGGAGGCTAGCTCACTGCAAATATTTGAAGAGGAAGCAGATAGATTGTTGAAATATCGGGAAGTTAAGGACTACGAGGAGCAGACGCCAAAGAGGAGTTGAGGCCTGGGCTGGATCTGTCATGATCTTGTTGAATGATGAGACAGGCTTCGGGCTGAAAAGCTTGTTCTTGCCCACTGTCCTAATTTGTCTTCCTTCTGGTGGACCTTGAGATATTTCTGACAATAAGATTTTGTTAAAATATTGTGGCTTGTGCTTGTAATTGTGACATTATCCTTGTAAAAGATCCAAAGTTAGCTTGTCTGTGTGTCATATTTCAGGTACAAAATAATCACAGAAAAACCCCCAGGAACAATATCCGGGGTTCAGAAATCAGAAAATGGACCTATTGCTTGGCATCGTGAGTTACCACTGTCTTGCAGTCTTTCCAAGTAAGTCTGCACTTTGAAAAACATTAGCTTGCACATTGATAATTGTTTTTAAATATGATCAGTGATCTTAGGTAAAGTTAATACAAGTGGCGACATATAATCATTGGAGTTTGGATGGTTGCTTTAGGCTTCATGTTTAGGTAGAGGTGAAAAATAGAGTCATTTGATTTGAATGTAAATTTCTCTGCTGAGAAATGAATAAATAACAAACAATTCTTTAAAAATGATCTTGTACCTTTCTCCCCCTTTCTCCTGTGGTCTCCCCTAGTTTTATGCTGTTTCTCTGACCAAATATTCCAGCTGCAACCTGGTCCTGGGTCTGTTGGAAAAAACTGAGTTTTATGTTGGATGTTCTGCCATGATTCCAGATCTAGATCGTTTTTATGTGTATCCTCAGCTGATGATGTCTCAAAACTCCACCATCCTCAGAATGGGGGTGGCATGTAAGCTGATGGGAAAACTGGGAGATTTTATCTGTGTCCTTTTATATGATTCCTTGTGCTGTATCATTGGTGAATCTTTTACCTGTGAGAATGTCAATATTTTCACACCTTTTCAGGATAGCTCTTGTAACCACTGCAGTGATTTAAAACATGCCCATGAAGTGCCTCGTGTGTGGTTGGAGAGAGTTAATATGCTTTCTGCTGTTGTGTGCTAGTTTGTTCTGTGTTTTCAATCTACGCTGTTGGTGAAGAAGTGGGCCGAGTCTGTCAGTCTTTTTCTGTCATGACACAGTCTCTCCATCGACAGGGTGTTAGCTGTGCCTCCGTGTGGTGACTTATGGAATTCGAGTCCCCTGTCAGCCTAGACTAAAGCTTTGGAGGAAATCTCCAGCTGTGTAGGCCAAACATCCTCGATACGGGCCCATTGGCATATGGACATGCCCTGGCCCTCATGAACCAAATTCCCATCTTTGGACAGATAGTTCCACTGACCAGTCAATACCTTGGGAGATTTGAAGGCTACATGGGTTGACCCTGATAAAATATTTTGAGTGAAGCCCAAAGGAGCCAGACTGAAGTCTCGATTTGACATCCTTTTGGCAACTCCTGTAGCAAAACCCGTGCCAGATGTAGTATTCTTTCAGACTCCATCTGGGGAGTCGAGAGGGATCCCTGAGATTTGGACTGCCCATGATCTCTATAAATTTTGTGCAGATTTGTAGTCTGGAGAGGATACTGTAGGTTTTCTGCAGAGTTATAACACTATACGGAGACAACAGTTACAAGTGATGAGCTCGACTTGATCAGTGTAGGGAACGGGTGGTACAGACTGTCGGAGCTATCGTCATATCCCACTGGCCAGCTACTGCCCACCTCAAGTTGAGGTAACCCAACTAATAAGGTGTTGACTTGCCATAGTCTGTCTGCTTCATAGATATGTGGAGCTTCAAGTCAAGAAATTAAAAGAATTTGTAAACTTTTGGACTGGTAAGCTGGAACGTCAGTAATATGTGAACAGAACTGACCGACAATTTGCAGTGAGTTGATAATCTGCGCTGTAAGAGAGTCATAATTCACACGAAACTTGATAGATGGAACATCAATTAACTTTCCTAAGTGAGATGAGGCTCAGTGAGATCTGATCATTTAAAGAAAATCATTGTATGTTCATCTGTCAGGGAAAGAGTTCAAAGGGAATGTCAAAGTAAGATGTAGGCCTCATTGTATGGCACTTGCTACACTCTATGATAGAATAATCCTCAAATATTTCAGAATGTGTTTTCTCCATCCTCCATCAGAGCTCTGCAGTGTCATTCAAATCTGATTTTTATTGGGCGATTGTGTAAAAATGTACCAGAAATAACTTGTGAAGACTTTGTTTTTCATTTTGAAGTGATTGGCTTTAGAACAGCAAGACATTTCACTGTTCTTTCTCTCCACAGAGGCCTGCAGTCCCTGTTGACTCCTATTCTGGCAAACATTCTTGAAGCTGATCAGGAGAAATGCTGGGGTTTTGATCAGTTTTTTGCAGAAACCAGTGATGTTTTACACAGGATGGTGATACACATTTTCTCTCTGCAGCAAGTGACATTGCACAAAATTTACATTCACAGCTACAACACGTATGTATAATACCAAGTGTGAAAATTGTGCAAATTTTCAATTGTAGCATTTTGTTTTCTACTGGTCAATGGTCTATTTAGAAAACGGATATGAATACAAAGCAAACTTGTCTTCTTGAGTTGTTCTTAGTCTTGGCTTGTTGAGGTGGCTCATTATTGCTTTTGGAAAATCTGTCCCCTAAATTGTCACTCCCTCCACACTTGAGATGGATGGAGCAAGATTCATGATATGAATTGGTACTGATAAGACAGTATCATGGACTAATATTATGCTGTGTTTTAAATCGAGAAATTTGACCATCGTTTTAAGTTTATTTAAAATAGCTGTAAAAATTACCTCATAAAAGTAACGTGAGAGTACAAGGGGTCCCCAGTTTACTAACATGCAACTTACGAATGCTTATTGTGACCCCATACAGGGCTGCAATTTTAAATATCCGACACATAAACATATCCTGTACTTATGAGCATCTGCTTTATATTGTCCTGCGTTGTGTTCTGACTTGCATATAAAACAACTTGCAACCAAACTCAGGAACAGAACCCCCTCTCAACCCGGGTGTTGCCTGTATGAGTAATGTATAATATACCCATTGATCTCTCATGGATATTCAGAGTTTCAGCTGTCCTCACTCGCCTTTGAACCAGAGGGTTCCTAGTTCAAGTCTTACTCCAAGACTTGAGCATAGAAATTAAGGTTGATTGCCACTCTAAGGAGTGCTGCGCTGTCACTGGTGCTGTTTTGCTGGTGAGATATTAGACCACATCTGTTATATCAGTTGGGCATAAAAGATCTTATCATAGAGTTTTGAACTAGAGTAGGGGAGTTAACCATGGTGTCCTGGCCAATATCAATCATAAAATAATATTCTGGGATGTATCCCATTGTATGTTTTTCTTTCAATTTAACTTCACTGGTTAACCATGGTCGGATTATCCCCATCTTAGAATCTTTCTTCCTCACCGGGATATATCTTCACTATGAGTCATGAACTATTTTCTTAAACTGTTACCATCATTCGTCAACTGTCTTTACTGCTAACCTCCTTTTCCAGTACATTCCAACCATCTCTGCCCTCATTCCTTTGTAATTACCCTTATTTAACCTTGCCACAATCGTTTCTGACTCAAGTTCCTCCCTCTCAAACTGAATGCTAAATTCTACCACATTATGGTCACTGTTTCCTTGGGGATCTTTTACTCTGTCATTTATTACAGATTACCAAAACCAAAACAGCCTGATCCCTGGTTGGATCCACAACACATCATTCTAAGAAACTCTCCCAAAAACACACTGAGTTCTTCCTCATGACTACCTGTGCTAATCTAACCATCTCCATCTACATGAGGTTGATCATACATAACTTATTTTGTACACTTGCACACATACTTACATGGTCTGAATTAAAATATTGAACTAGTTTGGCATCCTTTGATAATTGTACAACCTTTGTCACCAGTTGATTGGAGAATTGATGAAATGATGTGAATTCTTATTTGACAATAGCCGAGTTTTACCTTAATTGTAGCTGAATTTTTGACTTCTACTGTGTGGATAGATTGATATTTATGGTGTTGTCTTTCTTTTCAGCGCTCACCTATTTGCTGACTTGGTCTATAAACAGACTGATATTGCACCCCATTTGCAAGAATTGATCTTTGAGGGCCAACACCTTGAGCTTGAACCCAATATACAAGCTCACAATTTTCCCAAAACCTCTGAAGATAACCCTCTGATACTTGTGAACAGAGAGGTCGTGAGTGCAGTGGAATTGATCTACCAGGAACGTATGTTTATTGGTGCAACATTTCCTAAGTATTTTGATTAGAGCTGGGTTTATGTCAGTGTTATTTTTCATGATGTGGGTGGGAAACTGATTATTTTTCTGGTGTTATATGAGCTTCTGTAATTCAGGCCAGGAAAGGAATATTGAACTCTGGCGTGACTTCTGTGAATTTAAAAGCTTGGAATGAATACAGAAGTGCAAGTTAGATTCCCATTCTGCCTATAGTCATTACTCACAGGAATTTAAATCCAAATTTCATTGTTTAAAATTTTGATTTGCACTATAGCAAGTTTAAATGTGCAGTGAATGAATTTATTTACCACAGTTACAGATCATGTCCTTGTATCCAGTAGGCTTTTTATCCAAATAATAATGCACCATAAAACATTGTCTGATTTATGTGGGACCATCTTTTGCTGTTACCACACTTTAATTCGCATTACTATACAGTGAGTGCAGGGTTCACTGAAATGGGCCTTTTGGCTTGCCGCTTCACAATCTGTCTTCTCCATGTGTTTTCACTTCCCTGCAGGAAGCACAGAGTGACTGGTTCACAACTCATTGTGACAATGCTGTGGCTTTAAAAGTTATTTTGTCCTTTATTTTGAAGAGCGGTTGTAAGACAGAGGTGTTGAGCAGTCTGGGGTAATGTAAACAGCTTGGGAGGCCTTGGGTTATTTTTTACAGGCTGAATGGGTGTAGCCAGCTCGCTCAGATCCAGATTTCTGGGTTTTGGTTTTTTCAGTAGCATCAGAAGCTATTGGAGTCTCAACAGAATTGGAAGCTTTAGTGAATGTCTCCTGGCTGCTACTTTCTCTGAATTTTCTCTTGATGTTTTTATCCTCCTGGATTGGAGAACTGCATGTCAGAATCTATGTCTGAATTTTCCTTTTTGCTAAGGGGTGTATTTATGGGATATTACTATATTGGAACAGTTAATCAGTAAATGTTACTGTATCTGTTATTCTGTTGAGTTTTCCAATAGAGTTAAGTTATTCTAAATTCCTCTTTCTTTTGTTGTATTTTTAACTACAGTGTTTAAGTAAATTGTGTTTTGCTTAATGTCAGGTAATTTGACTAGTCACATTGCATCTAGAACAGGCACTTCACATTTGCCTTTGAAAATAAGAAAAGGTTAGGGTCGAGGCTATCTTCTTAAAATATTTTGAGGGGGCCTGGTCTGGTCCATGGCCTCTAACTTATCGGTTAAAAGAAGCAGCTTACAGCAACTGGTGAGGGAAAATAAACTGGCTTTCAGGCTTTAGGTCTTTTCTCACTACAGAGACAAGGACATTACCTCTCTTTCAAAGGTCCGAAGGCTCCTGGCTATATTGTTCATATCCATAACTATTCAGTTACCTGGGAGCCGATCTCATATTTGTTGGCAGACGTTTGGCATTGTCAGTGACATCTGGTTATCAATCCACAGACCAATCAGCTATTTGTTGCTGACCAAGTCTCATCTTGTGCACATTCCCTGGTGCCATTTCACCTGCAGCTAAACTTTCCCACTGTGCGACCAAACAACAGCAAAAACAGCACTTGCAATGAGAGCTGGTAGCTTGCTTTTAAAAAGTGCAGCAATCTCTTCCATAATCCATGGTCTTTAAGACAATCCTTGGCAATGTGGAAGAAATGGAGATGAAACGGATATTTTACTGTAATTTTATCACTTTATTTACATGGCAGTCAATATGTGATTAAATGTAGCTGCAAGAGTCACTTTCCAAAGCCTGTCCATCTACAAGACACAAAGTCAGGAGTATGTTGGAAAACTCCCATTTGCCTGAATGAGTGCAGCTTCAGCAACACATGAAGCTTGACACCATCCAGATAAAGCAGCCTGCTTGATTTGCACATCCTCTACAAACACTCACTGTCTCCATTACCAGCACACATTAGCAGCAGTGTGTACAGTCTACAAGATCCGCTGCAGAAATTCACCAAGGCTCCTATGATGTCATTGTTCCTGGGTCAATATTCTGGTATGCCCTCCCTAACAGCAGTGTGGATATACCTTTAGAAAGGGCTGGGGTTCAAGAAGGCAGATCATTACCACCTTCTCAAGGGCAGCTAGGGATAGTCAATAAATGCTGGTTCATCCAGAAACACCCAAATCCCACAAATGAATGAAAAAAAAAATCCATATGCTGTAACTTCTTCATCTTGGTCAATCTCTACACCCTATTGTCGGCCACAGTGCTTTCTGTTATGTTGATCCTATACTCTGGAATTTTGTCCCCAACTCTCCCTTTTCATCTTCCTCCTCCTCTTTTAAGACTCATCCTAAAAATGGCTTGTTTGACATGTTAGGTAGCCTTCCAAATCTTTCCGTTCTTTGGCTCAGTATTTATTTTCGCTGACACTTGGAAGCAGGCCTTTAGAAAATTCAGCTTTGGTTAGAGTTTTTGAATGTGCATGTGAGAGTTCTGGATGTATACAGACCATATCTGTATTCATTTGTGACCATGCATTATACTAAAAGTACTCATGTTTTCTATTGCAGTCTCAATTCCAATGTTACATCCTCGTTATGATTTGGATCTTGATGTGTCCAATGCAAAGGTGAAGATTGCTTTGATTATCATTTTAATTTTTTCTACTTTCACTTAAAAACCTACCAATGTTAGCACTCCATTAAGAATTACTCATCACTCCATCAATTTGTATATTGTACTTTCTGTCCTAGAATATAACTGGTATTGTCTGCCAAGCACAGAAAATAGCCTCCAAACTTTTGCATTATCAGGAGCTGGTGCGGAAAGGTGTTCGGTGGATAATGTGAGGAAGTTTTCTTTGTTATTGTGATGTTCAGAAGCTTGTCTCTTTGTGTGGAAAAATAGTTAAGTTCAAAACTGAAGACATTTCCTTAGAGAGCTTTCAGAATTCCTTTTATTTTAAGAGCACATTGTGTCATTCCATCACATGAAGGATATCCAGTATTATCCCTCAACTCTTCCTCCCTTGCTTACTCCTATGTCACAATTGTTTATGTTGGTGACTGTGCTTTCACTTGTCAACTGGGGAACTCATTGACCAAGTATTTGGTTACCTATCCTATTGGTATTCACCATTGACATTAGTGCAAAACAGCAGACTCTCATATTTGCTAGTGTGTTAGAGTTCATCAAATTATTCAACAGGTAAATGTACTCTGTGGATTAAAGCAATATCTTCAGCGCATCACTTGGTCTTAATTGGAATAACAGTTCCATTGCCATGGAATGTAGAAATATAGTGTTTCACATTCAGGGCAGCTGATTCCCCCACCCACAAAACACAGCCTTGTAAGTGTGTGCCCATAAATTACACACAATATGCATGCATTCTGATGAAAGAGTTCAATGATAATTTGTACATTCACTCTACTAGTCGAATCATCATGGACAATTTTCGTGAAACTTTACACAAGAAGACTGAAGTGATTCTGAAACTAAACTTCTGCATGGCCACTGTCGAAAGAGCCAGAAATCTGTAAGTGTTAGCATTGCTTGTAATCACTACTTATTTCCTATTGGTGTCACCACTTACCTCATCTCATGTCATTTCAGACTCTTTAAGTCAGTAGACAAAAAAAGGGTACAGAGATGAAAGGCCAGAACCTGTTGTTTCACCTAATCCTGTATCATGTAAATTTCAAAACTTTTTTTTCCTCTAAGAAGAGCTGTTGAGTTATTTAAGTCACAAAATTGGCAAAGATTATTTGGCATCATTCAATGTCATTGCTGCAACATTTCTACTAGGTTTTAATTAAAACTGCGGACCACCGAATGTTACTTTTGTAATAAGGCTGAATTCTGGTGCTGCATAATCCAGATGCAATTTTCAGCTCCACTTGTGAAAGTTAATTAGGTTGCACTCCAACTTCACTCATGTCACACATGCAAATTATTTGAGAAATACCCTCTGATGAAAAGAAAACTTTTCACCTTTGTAAGGAACATTGTCAATATTTGCAAAAAAAAAGTTTAATTTAGTTTAAGATAATCAGCTTTCAGTTACTGTCTAATGAGTGGTTCAAAGTTTGGAACTCAGGCCTTTAATCCAGACCATTTTAAGCAACTAATGGAATATCAATTGGAATTCTCTCTTAATAATCTCAATTAAAATTTTAGTCCTTCTGGTTGAGAGAGATTCTGGCTAAACAATGTCAGACTAGTGCTAAATTTTCTTTTTGTTTATGCACCTTGCACACTTGACAGATACAACAGTTTGCTGCAGACAAACATACTGCCATCAGAACTAGAAGAGATACCAGAAATTCACAACAAGCTTCTACGTGTGAGTAATTTATTCTGTGGAAATCAAGAAACCAATTTTTCAATCTGAGAGCTTGCCTATCTCTAATAAATTGGAATTAATACTCTTGAGTTTTCAGACAGGTAGGGGTGGAGGTTAGATAGACCTTGGGTTTAGGGTAAAAGTTCGGCACAACATCGTGGGCTGAAGGGCCTGTACTGTTCTATGTTCTATAACACACATGAGGTTGAGACTGTACAAGATGTTGGTGTGGCCTCTTCTGGAGTACTGTGTCCAGTTCTGGTCACCCTGTTGCAGGAAGGATGTTGCAGGAAATGGAGAGCTAGAAGGAGAGGCTGGATAGGTTGGGACTTTTTTCACTGGAGCGTAAGAGGTTGAGGGTTGATGTTATAGACGTTTATAAAATCATAATGGTTTTGATCAGGTGAATGGCAAGTGAGTTTTCCTTGGGATGGGGACTTTCAAGACTAGGGGGCATATTTTTAAGGTGAGAGGGGAAAGATTTTAAAAAGGCATAAGGGACAACTTTTTTACACAGCGTGGTTCATGAGAAAGACTTCCAGAGAAAGTGGTGGATCTGAGTACAGTTACAACGTTTAAAAGACATTTAGTTAAGTACATGAATAAGAAATGTTTGGAGAGATATGGGCCAAGCGCAGGCAGGTGGGACTAGTTTAGTATGGGATTATGGTCAGCATGGACAGGTTGGACTGAAGAGTCTGTCTCCATGCTGTATAACTTTACATATGTTGCATCATTACATCACCTTCCATATACCTAATCATATATTACTGCACCACTCTCAATGGATGCACTTTATTAAACGAGCTAAGGTCAATGTGGAAGGAATGTTGCTGTTATTTGTTTAGTGAGCCGGCCCAGTTTAGAAGAGGATTTAAAGTATTTACCTCTTGCCTTCTAGATTTTGTTTGTATGTCCTGGCTGCAAAACCTTGCCCTTAGAAGCTCTGTGCCATGTGCTCCTTGAAGAGAATTATGAAAAAGTTGACTTATTGACTTTCCTAATCACTTTCCAAACTGTTTGAAGTTACTTCTTCCAGAAAATTTGTACCAGGATTCAGTAAATAAAGTCGCCGTAGTCCTACCTGCTCTTGCGTTAAAGAGAGACAACTGGTGATGGTTTAACCTGAGGTCACCATGCCCCAGATGAAGGGAGCAGTTGAGAAGGAGAGACCTTTATGGTAACCTCAACCGATAAAGGAATTGAAACCAATAGTTGACATTGCTGTACATCACAAACTAGCTGTCCAGCCAAGTGAACTAAATACAATTATGGGAAGAAATTAAAATAGCATTTTAACAAATATAGCACAGAAACCTCTGCAATATAAGCCTGCCCTCCAGCCAAGTGAGCTAAATACAACTATAAGCAGAAACTCGAGCAGTATTTTTAAAAATATTTCGATACAGATTGGAACTTCACTTTTGTAAGTCACTGTTACATGGTACATTTCTGATCACAATTTCCTGCAGGTGTCTCTATAATACAGAATAACTTGCCTGCCTACTTATTCTTTCCTGCTCAATTCTAACCACATAGTATGCCTCTCACAGTTGTGCTTTACAAGTTTGAATTTCTTGTTGTTGTGAAGTTGGCAGGTTCTATAGAATCTATAAACGATGATATGAAGGATATTGAAGGCACGTTTTTACCTGGCAGTCAATTGTCGGATCATTGGGCATATCATGAAGGGACACATCCTGAAGACAGAAAGTGAGCTTAAATTTCCAAGCACCTACTTGTTTTATTTGTTTCATTTTAGCAGGAGCTGTCAACCTGTTCATATTTGTCATTTTTTTCGTCTCTTTTTTTTTTTCCTCAGTATTGAAAAGCTTCAGGTACTTCTGGACTTGATAACTGAAATCCATCATCAGTTCAAAAAGGATAAAGCTTTGCACAGTAAGAACACATACTTTTTATATGTTGTCGGCTGGCTGATTGAAGGCTAGTGTGTGTCAGCCACAGGCAGATGAGCTGTCTGCAATGTGCTAGTATTGCTGTTTAAGAGACCTGACGAGGAAAGGTATGATCCTTTCAAGCACATCATCTTGCAAGATAATTGCAACCAAAGATTAGAAGGCTGGATGTGCAGCAAAAAATAAGTTGATGTTGAATGGATTATTTTTTGTATGGGAAAGAGTAGCAGGTGAGAATTTTCTCTTCCCTAGATGTTCTTACAATGAAAATTTTGTGTTTTCGCCCCTTTACGATTATATCTAGCTTATAATGATGCGGAGCTAAGGACAAGGAGTCCCCCTCATTGCTGAGTGAAACACTGTGTGTAATAGTTTTGCAAGCAGGTGGACAGCCTGGGAAGCTTTGATTAAGGTAGCTGTAGGCTGATAATGGGACAGAAAATATTCTTTTCACATTGTTTCAGTGCTCCTTTTCAAAGTTATATTGGCCACATTGCTGGGTTAGAGTAAGATTACCTTCTCCAGGTGGCTTTGCGTCACTGGCCGACTTTTGACCTTGACTCCTTCACTCCTGGTTTATACTAAAGCCACTTTGCAGCAACACTGCAAGCCCTCAAGAAGGCAGCTTTATACGTCACCTTCCTGAGGGCAATAAATACTGGCCTTTTCTGCAGTGCCCACATCTCATAAAACACTGGAGGATATTCCCAGCCTTTAACGAAGATGAAACTATTAAAAAATATGTTACACTGGATTAAGATTTTGGGTGCAAACACTCTTAATTTTATTTTCAGTTGCTATTAATTCCAGTGTGCGTGTCTACCGTTGTGTACTTGTCTCAGTTTTCTGATGTTTGCAATTATTTTTCTGGTTCTTTTTCGGTTCATAGTTACAAGAGAAAATATATTTTATTGTATATTTTAAAGAAGAACTTATTGGAATTAATAGCAACTGAAAACAAAATTAAGAGATTTTGTGTCCAAAACATTAATCTGTCTTATCTTTGGGAACTGCCCAAAATATTGATATCTATATCATGCAGACTTAAACTTCAAATTCAGCCTTGATAAATGAAATTTAAAATCTTCCCTGTCTGGCTTCTTGATTTAACTAACCTGGAATGTCTCGATCCAACTCATAATGGACAGAAAACTCTACCCAAAACAAATACTTTGTGTCGGTATTCACCAGAGAAGGATTTGGTGGAGGATGATCTCAGGGAAGGGAGAGTGTTGAATTTCTAAGCCATGTTGCCATTAAAAACAAAGAGATGTTGGACGTCCTTAAAAAGTATTTAAGGGAGATAAGTCCTTGGGTCGTAATGGGATCTATCCCAGAATATTGAGGGAGGCAAGAGAACATATTGCTGGAGCATTGACAGACAACTTTGTATCCTCTTGGCCACAGTTGAGACCCCAGAGGACTGGAGAATAGCCAATGTTGTCCTATTGTTTAAGAAGGGTAACAGGGATAATCCAGGAAATTACAAGCCTGTGAGCTTCACGTCGGTGGTAGGGTAATTATTAGAAAAGATTCTCAGGGACAAGATCTATATGCATTTAGAACTTATTAACGATAGACAGCATGGTTTTGTGCGGGAGAGGTCTTGCCTCACTAACTTGATTGAGGAGGTGACAAAGATAATTGAGGAGCAAAAAGCAGTTGATGATGTCTACATGGACTTCAGTAAAGCCTTTGACAGGTTCCCTGTTGGCACACTGGTACAAAAGGTGTAGTCACATGGTATCAGGGATGAGCTGGCAAGACGGATACAGAATTCGCTTAGTCATAGGAGACAGAGGGTAGCGGTGGAAGGATGCTTTTCGGAATGGAGGGTTGTGAATAGTGGTGTTCCACAGGGGTGTGTGCTGGGACCTCTGCTGTTCGTGGTCTACATAAGTGATTTGGAGGACAATGCAGCTGGTCTAATTAGTATGTTTGCAGATGATACAAAGATTAGTGGAGTTGCGAATACTGAGGAGGATTGTCAGAGGATTCAGCAGAATATAGATCAGTTGGAGGCATGGGCAGAAAAATGGCAGGTGGAGTTTAATCCAGACATGTATGAAGTGATGCATTTTGGAACGTCACGTACAGGTAGAAATTATACAGTGGATGGCAGAACCCTTAGGTGAATTTTATATGCAGAGGGATGTGGGTGTGCAGGTCCACAGATCACTGAAGGTGGCAGCGCAGGTAGATAAGGTAGTAAAAAAGGCTTGTGGCATGCTTGTCTTCAATGGAAGGGGCATTGAGTATAAGGATAGACAAGTTATGCTGCAACTTTATAGAACTTTAGTTAGGCCACACCTGGAATATTGTGTACAGTTCTGGTCCCCACACTACCAGAAGAATGTGGATGCTCTGGAGAGGGTACAGAAAAGATTTACCAACATAGTGCCGGGTATGGAGGATTTTAGCCATGAAGAAAGGTTGGCTAGACTGGGTTTGTTTTCACGGGAACGTAGGATGTTGAGGGGTGGCCTCGTAGAAGTTTATAAAATTTGTGAATGGCATGGATAGAGTGGAAAGTATGAGGCTTTTCCCCCAAAGTGGAGGGGTCAATTAACAGGGGACACAGGTTCAAGGTTTTGGTGGGAACAGTTTAAAAGAGATGTGCAAGGCAGGTTTTTCACACAAAGGGTGGCGAGTGCCTGGAACACGCTCTCAGAGGAGGTGATGGAAGCAGACACAATAGCAGCTTTCAAGAAGCACCTGGACGAATACATGAATGGGAAGGGAATAGAGGGATATGGATCCCGTAAGTTTTAATGTGGAAGGGCAAAATGTGCCGGCACAGGTTTGGAGCGCCGAATGGCATGTTCCTCTGCTGTGTGGTTCTTTGTTCACATTCAGGGCTATTTCAATTATAGCATTCAAAAGGGATTGAGACTATTGTCTGCAAAGGAAGAGTGTGCAGAGTTACAGGAGAATGACACTAAGTCAGTTGTTCGTTCTGAGAGCAAGTGCAGACATGATGGTCCATCTGACTACCTTTGGTGTTGTAATAGTTATGTAATTCTGAGAGTAAACAGGCTGTAGGGCTTGAATGAGACATGTTAAAAATAGAATCAGCATGTAGAGTACGTTGTTCTGAGATTGGGGCGGGATAAAGGAAAAATTATGATTGGCATTGATATCTATGTTGCATTTCTTGAGCTAAGCCTTCAGGGAGTCTTTGAAACGCTTCCATGGTTCTCCTTTCGTTTGAGTTTCTAGGTAGAAGCTTTGTGTGGGACATACTTTAGCATGGGAATGTTGTTGCACATCAGCAGACACATAGAATCATAGAATCCCTACAGTGTGAAAAGAGGCCATTCAGCCCATCGGTTCTGCACCGACCCTCTGAAGAGTATCCGACCCAGTCCCAGTCCCCGTCCCCCAACCTATCTTTGTAGCCCTGCATTTACCATGGCTAATACACCTAACCTACACTATCCTGGACACTACAGGGCAATTTTAGCATGGCCAATTCACCTAACCCACACATCTTTGGACTATAGAAGGAAACATGCAGACATGGGGAGAATGTACAAACTCCACACAGTCAACCAAAACTGGAATCGAACCTGGGTCCCTGGTGCTGTGAGGCAGAAATGCTAATCACTGAGCCACCATGTGCACGTGGTCCAGATAGTAGATCCAGTTCCAATAGCAAGAAAACCTCAATGACTGGGGATCTCCCTAGTGCTGCTGCCTTCATCTACTGCAGCCATTGATTTCACATGAATGTCTTCCGTCTGGATTGTCGCTGAGGACTATTTTTAAATTGTGCTTTGTCTGGTTCTTCCCCTCCAGCCTTACCGTCATGGGTGACCCTCCCAGAAGTTGGGAAAGCCTGACAGCATCACTTTCCAGATAAATGGAATATTTAAGTCTTTCCATTACAGCAAGGTGGCAACCCACAGAAAGGTTTTTCATAGATAGCACGTTGTAGTTTCCTCAAAACCAGTGCATTGTGATTGAAAGGAGTGTGGAGGAGCCAGTGATTGGGTCCTCCAGTTGTAAATTCTCATTAGTAGTTAGGAATTGGTAATAACTGCTATCCTTGCCGACACATTAAAATCCCAAAACAAATTTTAAATAAAACTTCTTGTAGATACCAACCTCCTGACAGAACAATGAATAGATGGCATCATGAATTCATATGTTCATCCAGCTCTACACCTTGTTATCTCTCGTCTACAACATCCTGTCTACTCCAAATCTACAGCTTCACCTAATATTACAACTATATTGTCTCAGTGCCAGGTCACTTCTGCAGGAGTTCCTCAGGGTAGGATCCTAGGCCCAACCATCTTCAGCTGCTTCGTCAATGACCTTACCGCTATCTTAAGGTCAGAAGTGGGGATGTTCACTGTTGATTGCACAATGTTCACTACTGTTTGTGACTCCTCTGATAATAAAGCAGTCCATGTTCAAACGCACCAAGACCTGGACAATATTTGCATTTCAGCTGACAATGCACCAGGCGATGACCATCTCCAACAAGAGAGAACCTAACATTCACCATCTAACCTTCGGTGATACCACCATCATTTGATTTGCCCACTATCAACATCTTCGCATTATCATTGACCAGAAATTGTACTGACCAGTCATATCAATACAGTGGCTACAAGAGCAGGTCAGAGGCCAGGAATCTGCAATGAGGAACTGACCGTCTGACTGCACAAAACCTGACCACCATCTACAAGGTGCAAGTCAGGAGTGTGATAAAAGACTTCCAACTTGATTGGTTGAGAGCAGCTTCAACAGCACTTGAGAAGCTTGTGGAGAGGTGATGACACAGTGGAATGCTGCTGGAGATCTGGGTATTGTTATGGGGCCTTTGATTTGAAACCCACCATGGCAGATTGTAGAAATTGAATTCTATAAATATATGGAACTAAAAGCGACTCATGGTTATATATATTTCCTTCAGTGTCACTGGGTCAAAATCCTGGAACTCCATCCCTAACAGCATTCTACCTATGGCACATGGACTGCAGCAGTTCAAGAAGACAGCACGCCATCACTTTCTCAAGGATAACCAGGGATGGGCAATGACGCTGGTCCAGCCAGTGTACCCACATCCCATGAATCAATTTTTTGAATCCAGGATAAAGCAGCCTTCTTTATTGGAACCATGTCAACAAGCCTACTACAACAGCATCTTCCAAACCCACACTAACTACCATCAAGATGGGCATGGGCAGTAAGTTCATGGCGCGGCCAGACTTGCAAGTTCCCCTCCAAGCCATTCTCCACCCAAACTTCGAAATATATCACCGTTCTTTCAGTGTTGCTAAGTCAAAGTCCCTAACAGTTTTATAGAGGTATCTTCACCAAATGGACCACAGAGATTCCAGAAGGCAGCTCTCACCATCTTCTAGAGGACAGTTGGGGATGGGCAATAAATACTGGTCCAGCCAGCAACACCAACATTCTGTGAATGAGTAAAAACAAAATGAACAGAAGAGCTGTCCATTTTTAGTTGTTTGCCAACTTATTGGAGAACTATGACAGTTCAATTCTATTACCTTCATGCACTCTGGAGAATTTTGAGTTCTGCTTTTGTCCTAGCCAAATTGCTGTTTTCAAAGATAGGAAAATAAGCGGATATGGTAGTTTATAGAATGCGTGCACACAGAAACAGACCATTCAGCCTAAGTGATCCATACTGTTGGTTGTGTTCCACCAAATGTCTTCCCAATCCTCCTCCTCCTAACCTCAACACATCCTATTCCTTTCTCTATCACACTGTTCTAGCTTCCCCATATATCCATGCTGTAGTGAGTTTTGGATTCCAGCTGGACTCTGGGTAAATACGTTTCTCCTGTATTCCTTTTTGAGTTTGAGCAACAGCTTTTGTTGACTTCTAATTTCCAAAGATTTTGTCCTGAACACTGTTTTTCTTTCAGAGCTGCCTTATAACGAGGAGCAGATTCACAAATTTGATAAGTAAGTACTCTGCATGTGGTGAATTCGTTCTGATCCCTTGTGTCCCAAGAGCTGTGGTTTCTACTCTTTGTAATTGATTGAAAGTTAACATTACCTACAAAAGCATTTCTGCTTTATGACATACATCATGGGAGTAGTTTCCAGATCCCAGCTGCCGGGGGTTGGCCATTCTCTGCCACTTATGGATTATTAGAATCCAGGATCAGGGCAGGATACATGGTACCCATGATTTTTCCACCCTTTGGCCTTCATTGTAGGAAAATCATTGGTATTATATCCTCAAATTTCTAATATTCTTCACCCCACATCTGGATCTGGATTTGATGCCTGATTCTCTCCCCAGAGAGTTGAGCTGAATTAGCCAAGAATTGCAATAGACCAAAGAGGAACCTGCCCTCAAACTTAATCCTTAAAGGGGATATTGCCTCTCTCAATTGGTTTACTCAACCTATTATTTTTAGGGGGCAGGATCGTGAAACAGTGTCTTGTTTAAATTCACACATGATCAAGCTGATCTGTTTTGATGAGATTTGCTCATTCAACAAAAGGGGTGCTTTCTTTTGTTTTCTGGGGGAGCCGATGCTTTATATTGTCAATGCTGCTGACTTGCCAAACACCACTGTAACTGTTGGACTATTTATAAACACAGGACATGGCTCTGCTGATAGATGCTAAGCTAGCCGTTCGCTAAGCTGATCAGAATGTGAAGTTTGAGAGTAAAAATTTATATTTCTTCAAGTCTACCTTACTTTTAACCCATTCATGGGATGTGGGCATAACTGGCTAGGCCAGCATTTCTTGCCCATCTGTAATTGCCCAGAAGGCAGTTTGGAGTCAACCACATTGCTGTGGATCTGGAGTTATGTACAGGCCAGACCAGGTAAGGATAGCAACAAAAACAGAAGTTGCTGGAAAAGCTGAGCAGGTCTGGCAGCATCTGTGAAGAAAAAAATCAGAGTTAACGCTTCGGGTCTGGTGAGGAAGGGTCACTGGACCCAAAACATTAACTCTGATTTTTTTTCTTCATAGGTGCTGCCAGACCTGCTGAGCTTTTCCAGCAACTTCTGTTTTTGTTCCTGGTTTACAGCATCTGCAGTTCTTTCGGTTTTTATCAGTTAAGGGTAGCAGTTTTCTTCCCTAAAGGGCATTAGTGAATCAGATGGGTTTTTCCAGTTTTCGACAACAGACTTATGGTTATCATTGGACTCTTGATTCCAGATTTGTTATTGAATTCAAGTGGCAGGATTCCAATCCAGGTCCCTGATTCGTTGCCTGGACTCTGAATTAATAGTCTAGCGATAATACCACTAGGTCATCAGATTGGCAGGCTCAGGTAGCATCTGATCCTCACTAAACCTGGTGAGGTCATAAATGTGGTTAACATAACTTTTAAAAATACAACAGCTAATAGTGCTGGAGGAGAAGACAACCTCTGATGCCAAGTGCAAATGAGTAATGAACTTACGTAGCCTTATCAGCATCGTTTAGATCAAAACAGAAAATGCTCAGACACACTGACTGCTCAGTATCTGGCAACATTTCCTGTTTTTATTTGACATTACCAACGTCTGCAGTATTTTACTTCTATGATTTAAGAGTTGAGTTGGTTTATTCAGATCTATTGCAGTATTGTAAGTTGGCCGGTAAAACTTGAAAGGTTGCAGCAGCTCTAATCCAGCAAACCTGCCGGGCTTGTATTTTGCCCCACAAACCAGCCTGAAGATGAGAATATAACCTTCCCATCTGTTTATCAACAAGATTGATTTCTCTTTTCCCAGAACCTTTTATTTTCTTGTATCTTTCATGGGATGTGGCCATGATATGCAATGCCAGTATTTGTTAGCCATCCCTGAGTGAGCTTGAATTGAGTGGCAAATGGCTTTAAGACCATTTCATAGGGTAAGTAAGAGCCAACCATGTTACGGTGAGTCTGGAGTTGTGTCTAGGCCAGATCAGATAAGGCTGATAGTCATCCCTAAAGCTCATCAGTGAACCTAAGAGGTTTTTACAATAACTGATGATCGTTTTATAGTCACCATTACTAAGACTAACTCTATAGAGGAAGCGGTGGAGGCTGGTACAAATACAACAGTTAAAAGGTATCTGTATGGGTTTATGAACAGGAAGAGTTTAGAGGGATATGGGCCAAATGCTGGCAAGTGGGACTAGATTTATTTAGGATATCTGGTCGGCATGGATGAGTTGGACCGTGCTGTACATTGCTATGACACTATGACTCTTTACTTATTCAATGAATTGCTATGATGGTATTTGAATTCCTGCCCCGCCCCCCCCACCCAAGTACATTTCTGGATTGCTACTACAGTGCCACTACCATCTCCCTATCTTCCTTAGTATTAGGAGCAAGTACCTTCCTCTGTTTCCGAGATCAACTTTTTTCATCCTGATAAAGCCTCTGTTGCCTGGAATGGAAGATGTTTGTTTAATTTTGTCTCCCCTTCTCTCAGAGGTATCCTTGAATAGAGATGACGGAGCACAGAATTTTTAGGAGTTTTTGTGAGCCTGCCCATAATTTCAGACTAGCATTGGTTTTAGTACCACTTAATTAGCAGGCAGTATTGCTCATATCAAGTGTTTGCATAATAGTAATTGAGGTCAACAGCCAGAAACTATCTGAGCTGGTGACTAGATTGCAGGGCAGCCTCTGCACCACAGCTATTACTATAAACAGGAAATGCCATCATTGCTGGCAACTAATGAGTCTATTTTTATCTATAAGAAAATGTAGATTACAATGATAATTAATAAGGATTCTGTATGAACTGCAGTGTTTGTTCAGGCAGTGTTGTGGATCATTTTTCTATTTTCCGATCCTTTGTATCACCTGACTTCAGCATGTAGGGGCATATTGTACCAGACAGGGTGCCCATTTCAGATTTTCCAATCACTTGAGTCCTTCCTAGCTGTGCTGCATCCAGGTTTTTATTAGTCATTCATGGGATACAAACTTCACTGGCATTATTGACTGTCCATACTTGCTGTGAATGGGGTGGCATGCTAGGTCACTTCAGAGGGCAGTTTGAGAGTCAACCAGCTTGATCTGAGACAAGACTCCAGTGTGGGTCAGACTGGGTGTGGACAGTAAGTTTCTATTGCTAGAAAGCATCACTAAATCTGTGCCGTTTTAGCAAAGGTGGGGTGGTGTACCGAGGAACTGGAAAGTCACCTGAAAGTTGCCAAGACTTCCAAACATTTGCAGAGAATAATGGCTATTTCTTCCTCTTCTTTGATTTTCATTAATGAGACCTTTGATCTTGTAGCATATGTCAAAACTGTATCAGGGAGCTGAATTGGCAGCAAAAATAGACAAACCAACATTTTGTGGATTTTTTTAATCACCTGGGTTCAGTAATATGATATTCTGTTGAACCTCCTTTGCTTTGTTTCAAAATACTCGATACTCTTTATTAGGGGAAATCTAGGGTTACAGGAAAAGGGCAGGAAAGTGGACGTGAGGAGCGTTGGATCAGCCATGGTCCTATTGAATAGTGGAACAGACTTGAGGGGCTGAATAGCCTACTCCTGTTCCTATTTCTTCTGGGTTTTTAAGTGCAATATGCTCGATGACTGTAAAAGGAAATTTTAATCTACAGCATTGTGCAAGGCAGCCCAATACTGATACTGCAATGATCTGAAAAAGTGCACAGTGGATGCTTACTGCTGCAGAACTGCACAATGGTGGACAATGATTAAATACTGTAAAACACCTTATGTTTTTGTACTAGAATGTATTACCAACTAAGAATGGTGTATTCTAATTTTCTGTTTCAGACAGAAGATGTGCCTGTATGCTTCAAAAGCCATGTCCTTGTTCAGGGATGAATGTGTTGCAAAGTATCAGTCTTTTCTAGACGTGGCAGATGACTGGATGAAGTGAGTTATAAACTTTTAAATTTAATTTAAAATTTTGTTGACAATTTTTTTGCCCACTTTGTGACCCATGGGCAGATTGATATTCTCCAGCCTGATGATATATTTGTGACTAAGGTGCATCAATAGCAGCTGAACATTACAGTTATGAGATCATCGGCTGGTCAATCAAGCCTGCCCCACCATGATGACCAGAGGAACCTACTTTGTCTGTCCCTCCTGTCTGCCCCTCCCTTCCTCCTGTCTGTCTACTCCCTCTTTGTCTCTGTCTGTGTCACTCTCTCTCTGTCTGTGCCTCTGTGTCCATAGTCGTGTAATCTCCTTAAATTGGCATAGAAAAACAGAACAAAAAGTCCTGGGGAACAATATGGGGAAAAAATATTCTTTGAAATTTCTCTCCTATCCCCTCAGCAACAAAACCAATCAAAACTTTGAGGTGACATGGACTAAATGTGAGCTATATTTGCCTTCTATATGTTAGGATTTCTGCCCAAATCAACATTGGCCCAGCTCCCTTTCAGTGCCAATAAGGAAAAGCAGCTGGAATTGATCATGTGCCTGTTGTCAAACCTGTTCCATCGTGTGATGTTTTTGTGACTGATCCACCTCAGCTCCACTTTCCCTGAGACACCAAATCTTACTCTATCTAAGCCTTAAATATATTCAATGATGGAGCATTTCCAACCCCCTTGAAAGATTCTGAGATAACAAGGTGTAGAGCTGCATCAGAGAAGCAGGAAAGCTGTCGTTTCAGGAAGGGTCTAGGCCTGAAACATCAGCTTTCCTGCTCCTCTGATGCTGCTTGGCCTGCTGTGTTCATCCAGCTCCACACCTTGTTATCTCAGATTCTCCAGCATCTGCAGTTTCTACTACCTCTTGAAAGATTCATAATCTTTTGATTGTAGAATAATTCTCCTAAGTGTTTGGCCTGTGATCTGAGACTGAATGCCCATGTGTTAGATTCCCTATCCAGCAAGCTGCACCCCATCAATATCTGACCTGTCTACCCGCTGCAATACCTTGTATTTCCAATGAGATCAACTCTCATTCTTCTAAACTCCAGTGAGTGTACTTGCTTTGTCTTTGGTGTCTGAAATGAGCATTTTATATTCTATGACCACAGTGTAGTGGAATAGCTTGTTTTTCAATATAACAATCGATCTACACTGTAATACAGAATAGATAGTTTGCTATCTTATGGTTGAGCCATTAAACTAAAACTCTTTCTGCCTCTATAGAAGATACAGTTATTTGAAAAAAAAAATGCATTCTACCAGTGTCTTGGGCAATATTTGACCAAATATTCTTTTATGTTGCTGTAACCATTCTATGATTTCATCTCCTGGAGATGATGCCACATATTTACAAATATGAAAAGAATTGATTTTACAGTAAGTTGTTTTTCTTCACATAAATGGAATGTTATACTTTGTAACCTCCGTTGAGATCTCTGACACAAACAAAAACAAAGTGCTGGAGAAACTCAGCAGGTAGGGCAGCATTTGTGAAGAGGAAGCAGAATTAACCCTTCGAGTCCAGTATCCCTTCAGATTGTTTTGAGATCTCTGTACTCCTTTAATGTTCATCTCTTGTACGTCTGTAAATTCCACAGTGCGCCATTGGCAGTGATGCTTTCAGCTGACTCAGACTCTCAAGTTCTCTCCCTAAGCTGTTCCACTGTCTCTGTCTTCTCCATTTCAGATCACTCCTTAAAGGTTGCCCCTTTTGAGCAAGAATTTGGTCACCTGTACTTTGCATAGTTTTGAATTTTATCTGATACTGCTCCGGTGCCTTTCAAAGTGTTATTAAGTTGAAAGGGCTTCACTGATGCAATTGTGGTTGTGCACTTCGATTGTTGTCGCTTTGTCTGTATAATTGTAGGAATCTAATGCTTGTAATATTCCAACAGGAATATTGCAGTAGTTTTTTTTGACATTGGCTGTAATAAATTCTGCTTCCTTCACAGGAAGATGCACTTTCTGAGAAAGCAGGTGTTGAGTGTTGCAAATCGGTTTGGTAGCATCGAGCAGGAGGTATTCACGTACCAGGAACACATCAAAAAGGTATTTGGCCCCTGAGGGAGCGAGCAATAAATTTTTAAAAATTAATTTGTTTTGGGCCATGGGTGCCTGTTACATAGCTGAGCTTGTTGTTCATCCTTTATTGCATTCGAAAGTTGGTGATATTCATTCTTGGGTTGTATTTGTCTGAATTAGTGGTTTACCAAGCTACTTCAGAGGCCAAGTAAGAGCCATGGAGGCAATCTCTCACTCAGGTTATCCAGAATTGTCCCGCAGAAATTGAACCTTAAACTTTAGGTCATTCACATGAGCAAACCCAGAAGGAAAAGTTACAAGAGACATGTAAAAAAAAATTGGACTTCTTTCCCGGCCCTCTTAAGTGCTCTATTAATGGAGAAAAAGTTGTTTGCCTGACAATCAAGAGCACTTAGGTGCTCTGGGAGCAGGTGGAGGCCATGGTGGGCGGTGGGGGATACCGAGCTGAGGTAGTTAAAGGCAAGAGGTCATAGAACATAGAACATAGAACATTACAGCGCAGTACAGGCCCTCGATGTTGCGCCGACCTGTGAAACCAATCTGAAGCCCATCTAACCTAAACTATTCCATTA